TTAAAAAAGGTCCAAAATTATGAAGGGAAAAGTCAAATGGTAGATAATCAATAACTATATCTATAGCATATAGGTGGAGTTAGATTGTTTATATGGGTTGTTAACAAAATATCTTTCAACCTAAAATGTGGTCAAATTAGTTTGGTGAAGTTTGGTCAATATCAGCAATTAAAAAAAGACCAATTAAATACTTTTTATCTATTACTAGCAGGATACCAGGCTTCGCTCGGGGGTCATAACCCCGAAACCGGAAGTGGTAGACTAACGCCACCTGGCCTATGTTACTCCCCGGTCCGAGCTACCCCTATACCCCAAATGTCAGACTCGTGGCAGACCTAGTGTAGCCGCCAACCCCGAACAGACAGACTTCCCATTGGGGGTCACAACTCCGAAACCGGAAGTGGTAGAATAACGCCACCTGGCCTATGGTACTCCCCGGTCCGGGCTCCCCCTTTACCCCAAATTTCAGACTCAGGGTAGACCTAGTGTAGCCACCAACCCCGAACAGACCGGCTTCGCTCGGGGGTCATATCCAATGATATATATTCACATAAGTTTTGACCTAGTAAATGTGCACTTTGATTTACATGTGTTCTGGCAAAATCCCATTGTCGTTGGCAGGGGATGCTGAAGTGGTACGAATGTTTCAAAACTGTAAATTGTTATTGACGGATGGCATCATACATTTTTTCTTGCAGCATAATTTTGAAACTAACTAATCCTTCAATATGAAATGATTTTTTACTATGTTGCGAACATAACTTTTGTTGGTAGAGCGTTCACAAGGTTCAACAAAGTGAAACAAGGGCCATAACTCTGGATGTAATTAACAGAATTGTTTAAATTTAATAGTCTTCATTTTACTAAACTAATTTAAATGATGCATATAAATTTCATACAGATCGGATAATAACTTTTGTCCAGAAGAAATTAACAGAAATTATTGAAATTAAATAGGTTTCTTCATCTCACTAATGTAAACAACATATATATCAATTTTAAACAATAAGATGATAAATTTAGACTGTAGAGTGTTCATAAGACTAAGGATGAACAGGGGGGATGGTAATATACGAGCACATTTCCATGTGGGCATAAAATATTATCCACTTGATTAAAGATATTATTGTTAACATCTAGGCGCCAGCTATTGAATTGAACATGTTAATAAGAACATTAAGATTTATTACATTGCATGAATAAACACTTAATCTTTATTATGTACGTTATCTTATGTTTATTTTCTAATAATGTTTGACACAAAAGGCTGTAATTTTGAAATGTGACACTGTGTTCTTTCCTGTTTTGCATAAATAGCTCATGGGAGATGTTATGAGTTACATATGTATTTTTAAAATGATGTGATTCAGTAACAGACTAAAATGAAATCCTTAATGATGCATTATGTAACAGCTAAATCTGCTTGTTGTAGGTCTTTTTTCTTGCTTCAAATGTTATATAAATTATTACTGGTATATATACATTTATTAATATGACAAGCCCATAATCAACTCTGTAGACCATCGGATAGGTCGGATTTAAGTAGGTTAGAAAACACAACCCATCTATGTTTTAATGATAAAAAAGATAATCAAGAATTAGTCTTGATTGTCAAGTTCTGTAGCTACGATAATAACCAATTCACGCTACATTTTGTCAACAAAAGTTCAAAAACTTCTCATAGAATAATGAAATTTTCAATAATGTATATTCATTATGCCTTATCTAATTTTGAACTATATCAAAATGTTCATTGTGTCTTAATAAATATCAATAGCCCATATGTTCATAATACGATCACAACATCAATAAACTGAATTGAACCAATATTGAATTATAATTCGTGTTCTTAATTGGAATATAATGAAGCTGAGAAAACAAAATCCGGTTTTCAGGATGAATTTTTGGGGAAATCATGTGGGCGAATAAGAAATAAAGATATGGTGCCAGACAACGAAACATACGCCCACAGCAGCTAAATCATCCGGGCAGTCAACAAGTGTTGTCGCATATGTTTACACTTTTTTTCGGTAATGAAACATTTATAATACACTTAAATCTGATTAAGAGTAACAACTCATGAAGTAATTATCAGAAAACCATTAGAATTTGTTTGGTTTTTATAAAGTTCTGCCCCATGCTAACATTTAGTATACGAAATATTTAATATCATGGATTTAGCTGTTCCAAGTCATAAAAATTCATTGAAAATCAATATACTTGTTCGTCTCAAGATCTTAAACTCTGTGTGTGTATCAATCTGAAGTCAATCAGATGATAACTTTAGCCTCTAGAGCGTCACAAGATTTTTCAAAGTGATCAAGGGTCATAACTTTGGCAGTAATTATCAGAAATCGTTGAAATTCAATAGGATTCTTCATCTCATGACCGTAAACACTGTGTATAAATTTAAAGTAAATTGGATATAAACTTAAGCCTCTAGAGCATCCACAAGATTTTTTGAAGTGATCAAGGGCCATAACTCTGGTTGTAATTATCGGAAATCGCTGAAAATCAATAGGATTCTTTGTCTCATTACCTTTGAAGTGACGGACAGACGGACGGAGGCAACGACAATATACGACCACATTTCAATGTGGCCGTATAAAAATCCACAACGTTATATAGCAAAGCCACGATATTTCAATCTCTTATCATTCCTGTAGTGAATTTATTCTACCTACATCTTGGTATTTGTAGTGATGTACTAACTAGTGGTGTTTTTTTTTTAATTATAGAATTATACAAATGAGGAAAGCAATAATCTATTAGACTAAAATTTACATTTCCTCAGAGGAAGTAGAATTCAGTTTCCCTGTTTACATAATATTTTAGTTTTGATTTTAAATCATTTATGAGTGGATTGATCAAGAAAGAACAGAAATTGTCTACTACTGAACTGATATACCATAGTCCAAAATCAAAAGATAAGTTGTCAGGCAACGAAACATACGCCCACAGCAGCTAAATTGTCCGGGCACACAATAAGAGCTGTCGCATATTTTTACTTTTTTCGGTAATGAAACATTTACAATACACTAAAATCTGATTAAGTGTAACAACTCAATAAGTAATTATCAGAAAACCATTAGAATTTGTTTGGTTTTTATAAAGTTCTGCCCCATGCTAATGTTTAGTATACAAAACTTTTAATATCATGAATTTAGCTGTTCAAGTCATAAAAATTCATTGAAGATCAATAGACTTCTTCATCTCATGAATTTAAATGTTGTGTATAAATCTAAAGTCAATCTGATATTGACTTTGGCTTCTAAGAGCCTCCACAAGATTTTTTGAAGTGATCAAGGGCCATAACTTTGGCAGTAATTATCGGAAATCGCTGAAAATCAATAGGCTTCTTCGTCTCATGACCTTAAACACTGTGTATAAATTTAAAGTCAACCGTAAATTAACTTTAGCCTCTAGAGCGTCCACAAGATTTTTTGAAGTGATCAAGGGCCATAACTCTGACAGTAATTATTGGAAACGCCGAAAATCAATAGGTTTCTTCGTCTCATGACCTTATACACTGTGTATAAATTTAAAGTCAATCGGATATTAACTTTAGCCCTGACGGTCCACAAGATTTTTTGAAGTGATCAAGGGCCATAACTCTGGCAGTAATTATCAGAAATCGTTGAAAATCCATAGGGGCCACAACTCTGGCAGTATCTGAAATCGCTGAAAATCAATAGGCTGATTCCTCTCATGACCTTAAACACTGTGTATAAATCTAAAGTCAATCTGATATTAACTTTTGAGGGCCATTTTGAAAATCAATAGGCTTCTTTATCTCATGACCTTAAACACTATATATAAATTTAAAGTCAATTAGATATTAACTTTAGCCTCTAGAGCGTCCAAAAGATATTTCAAAGTGATCACGGGCCATGACTCTGGCAGTAATTATCGGAAATCGTTGAAATTCAATAGGTTTTTTCGTCTCATGACCTTAAACACTGTGTATAAATTCAAAGCAATTTCAAAGTGATCAAGGGCCATAACTCTAACAGTAATTATAAAAAATAGTTGAAAATCAATAGGCATTTTTGTTTCATGACCTTAAAGACTGTGTATAAATTTAGGTCAATCGGATATTAACTTTAGTCTCTAGAGCGCCCACAAGCAATTTTGGACGCCGGACTGACGGCCGCGACAATATACAACCACATTTCAATGTGGGCGTATAAAAACATACAGCTGATGCATGATGAATGCCAACATATTAGATCTGAGGCAGACTCGACTATCTTTAATCCCCAAATCTCTAATTAGATTTCTTTCTAGATTGTCGCAAGGGAACCAATAAATCACCAAAATGAGAAAATGTGTACGAAAATGTAATCAGCTTCCCAAAAACGTATGTTTCAACACTAAATTTGATCATTTACAAGTTTAATGTGATTTTAAACACACCATACATATATATATTTTTATACAGGTGTATATATGGACATCACAGTAAACTATAACATAATGAAATGAAATGGGGTTTAACGTCCTACTGTTCTAAACTATAACAATATAAACATCTGTTAGCGGGCACTCGGATATCGGTAGCTACCTACGAGTATATATATTTACCTATAACTGCACCTATTGTGCCCTTTGTCCATAAAAGAAATAATAATATATATCCTAGTTTCTCAATGAATGGTTTTCCTGGGATAAGCTGAATAAACAGAACTATAATATTACCAGATTAACGTAGGCGTCGATCTTAACATAAATATGCGATTCGGCTTAATATTAATTTTCTCTTCATCGCTTCAGTTAATTACATAAATCTTTAAAATAAATAATAGATTTTAAAAACTTTTACTGAACTATATTGCAATTTCATTCTAACTGCACTCATAATGATTTTCTTTGGATATAATAGCTGGCCATTTGAAAAGAAAATGGATTTGTTCTATGTAACACGCGCACATCCTCATGGTTATTTTCCTAACAGTAAACACGCGGCTTTTTGGTTCCTACAAAGGAATCTTTATTCTTACCTCAAAATCTTTCATTTCTTGAACCTTGGGTAATCCCATGATCTTCAATATTTTAAAGGAGTAAAATATCTGCACACAGCAAAATCTTCAACCTTTCATAAAATTAACTAATTTAGTCGCCCTTCCGTCTAAAAATGCCGTGAATGATTACTAACCGGAGAGAACTGACTCGACACAATGACGTATAGATTGGACCGATCCATTTTGCTGAAATGGGGTTAATGTATTCAATAATATTTATTTGCCGCTTTCAAAGATGTTAAAATGAAATCTGATTCAGTAGACTACTTGTCAACAGTTGAATGTACCGATTTAATAATATTTTGTTTAAAACCTTCGAGCTTCTTTGTTTATAAGCTATGACCCACATTAGTGGGAGGCAGCGTCGATCGATAGTGGATTTAAAATCCTTCCACGGCCATGTTTAGTCGAGTTCATTTCCCTAGTTTTGAATAAAATGTTGATGTAAACAAATTGTACAAAAAGTACAACGTATACTAAAGACGGTCATACCCCACGCAGATGCTATAAAAAAAATTAACCAGGACAGTGGCGTTTCCACATCTCCACTTCGAATTCCAAAGCTACCAATGGCAAGTGTTATTTTACGTGCATGCCAATATGTCGCCATCCATGCCAGGAGTCTAAGGACCCCGATAATGTGAAAAAAATCCCGAAGAATTAACGTTCTCGGCCACCATTGGGATCGATAGAGTTTGAAACATAAATATTTTCTATGAAATTTATGTTTGATTTGGATATGGAAATTATGTATATACGAATTGTCTTAACCCGTTTTCTAATTATTGATTTGAGACAGTTTCGGGAATTCATGACGCCGCAAGGGTTCAATGATATTTTTTTTTTAGTTGGAGGTCTGAGAAATAACATGAAGCCAAATTTATTTTCATTTTAACTTAATGTACTTCTAATTTGCATACTGTGAGGAAATTCCTATAGGAAATGTTTCTCACGGACGAAGTCAGAGGACTTCATACGTGAGAGACCCTTTAGAAAGGAACTATTGTAAGATTAGATAATTGTAGGAAATCTCCGAGTTTGCGGAGCAGCTTTGGGTATAAATGAGCTTCGTAATTGTTACAGTTTAGTAAACAATTTTGTTGTTTTCGACCGAGTTTAATGGGCGAAAAGCTCTATTCTTTGGAACCTTAAAATAGGAATATTATTGATGTAATATGAATATAACGTGATTGCTTTCATTTTTTACATTTTTTATTGTAATTTCTAATCAATTGTTATGTTCGGTGAAATACGCGAACAGTCCCAATTGAACGGCAGTCGTTTACGCCTCTTTAGTCCATTCTACACGTTTTTTTTAAAATTATTATTTTAGTCGTTAGTGATTCGGCCATTACTAATTACTTGTAGGGTATGGGGGTTTTTTTGTTCATTACAAATGACGCCATAAACCACAGAATACACGACTTGTGTACTGATTAAAATTTTAAAATGTTTATTATGTCTTAATTATTGGATATTAGGATCCCACATTTTGACGGCATGATAACAACGCCAATATTGATTAAAATGAATTAATACTGAATTTTTTAATTCGTGTTTTTAATTTTAAATTTTATAGATGATATGGAGTTAGAGATTTAGCTCCTTCAAGTCACAAAATTTACATTTACATAGCGCCGATCGACAGGTACATGTTTGTATCGTCGCCCCCTCTAAGTAGCTAGTGCTCCCAACCCTAACCTTAGCTGGCCTTAACAAATAGATTAAGCCACAATCACTGACATCGATGCGGTTTAATGAGCCCCATTAACTTTTTTCCTCCGATAAATTAAATTCTAAAACATTTATGTTTTTTAAGTATTAAACTGCGAAATTTCTGTTCATTTTAAAGGAGCTAAATCGCTAATATTTGGAACCTACAAATTGATACAAATGGGTCGCAACGTATATAATAATGTAATATGAACGTAAATAAACTGATTTACATTCAATCGTTTCCGTTATTACTCGAATTTCAAAGCAGTTATGTTCGGCGAAATACGCCAGAAGTCTCAATCGAATGGCAATCTTTAGCGTCTGGTTATTCCAGTCTACACTGATAGAATTTATTGCGCATGCTCTCCGGATAAGAATATGGGGTCACCGTTTCACATGACTTGTGGAATATGTCTAACCTCGTTCTTCCGAGTCGCTTGTATCAAATTGCGCTGAAACGCATTATGGTACACGATTCGTGTACCAATCGTAAAATGTTTATTTTGTCTTAAATATTGGATATCAGAAGCCCTTCTTTTCCCGGCAAGATCACAACACCAATGTTGATTAAAATTGACAAATAATTCATATTTTCATTGTCGAAGGTTTTGGATGATATTGAGTTAGAGACTTAGCTACTTTAAATGGCCGTCAAATTTCATGTCACTCGAAAATACAGAAAAACTGTTCGGTAAGATAAGATTAAGATTTCAGTGTTCCAAACTTCACTATTTGTAACATAGTAACTTATTTCCATGCAAACTGTGATGATATGTGTTGAAAATATTGCAATTGAACCTAATTTTACTTGCGCAAAGCCTCGAATAGTGTAGCAAAATTATCACGGCTACAAATATTGCAGCTACATTTCTAGGTGCCAAAGAATAACGATTTAGCTCCTTAAAATTATTAAAAGAAACTTGATGGTGTTAGAAGTATATCGAGATAAAAAATATTTCGTATTTAGTGTAAATCCTGGGTACATAAAATAGTACGCGAAGACGTAAAATGAGTAATCGACACCCATTCTGCCGGTTAGATCTATTTCACATGCCACCTGCAGATTTCGTCGTAGGTCGCGAGATGTAAACAGGACTAGCGCTAACCCTAACCCAGTACCTACCCTACGCCTAACTCACAATCCTCGGCAACAATTAATCACGTACCCTAACCCTGTTTACATCTCATGACCTTGGGAAAATCTGCATGTTTGCATGTGAAACAGATCTAACCCAATTCTGCCCGGACCAGTTTGTCTTACTATGTCCAATGTAAACAATGCAAGCGTTATCGGCGCCATATGATCTGACGCACACGTAGACCTATACTGCACGTGGACTTAAAGGTCATGTAAGTAACAGAGAGAGAGAGAAATGGGGTTTAACGTTCACTCGACACAAACTAGGTCATTTCGGGACTAACATATGGTCTAATTTTATTTCAATAATTCGCTTGCGCGTAGGGGTCTTTAGCAGTGGGAGGAAACCGGAGGACCCGGAGAAAACCCATGAGGCTGGACAGGCGACCCTACTCCTTGTCACGTACAACCGGGGATTCGAAACCACGCCAGTTGACTCAATGACAGGCCTTATGATACAGCACGCGCGCACGTGCTAACCATTCGGCCACCGAATATTGCACAATAATACTACCGTAACGTTTTTTAAAATAGTTTTGTTTGTCGAGGCGAATTAGATAATGAAAATCTCTTTCATCCCGACAACTAGCACGATTTTTCATCGTGACTGAAAGAGGCTACACAATTGTGACGAATGGTAGCTTACCGGATTAAAATGGATATCACACTGCACCTGCTGACTGAAAATCAGTTTGGCTTCGTCGGGAAATTTCCGAAATTCACCGAGGAATGTCGATTGAGTTTGTCTCTCATATTCAGTCGCTGCATGTAGGCCTCCCTATAATGGTCGGTGTAATAACAGATTACATCTTTTACTTGCGATTTTAAAAAGTCAGATTGTTTGATTCAGAATCGTTTAAGTTGGCTAGTAAGGATTTATTTAACAGCTATTTTCGGTTAAGGAAATCGATTATTGTCGGCTTGGTCGCTATTTAACCAAATTCGAAAGATATAGAAGAACGATGAAGATAAAGGTGTGATAAATAGTTCGGTCATATAGTAATATAGCCAAAGGCAAATACTGGTTATTAACAGTATTTCTACAGATCGATAAAGTTGACCTAAATATTTACTCTTTATTAGAGTTGTAGTATTTGTGCTCCCAGTTCTAGCGTATGTTAAATATGCCAATGTGGTCGTATTGTAGTCACCTGGCCCGTCCGTCGGTCTAGCCACATGCAGTTATCCGATCGACCTCTGTGTATGTTCACGAGACGAAGTGAAATGAAATGGGGTTTGACGTCCTACTTTTCTTCACCGACTGGGCTAATGAAGACTGGCGTACATACAGTGTGCATGAGAGCAATTTTGCCCGGACAATTCTACGCTTATAAGGAATTCCAACTGTCAAGGGTTCTGAACTCCAAAGTGTACACGGGAAGTCGGTTTTTCGTCCCATCCGAACGACGACTAGAGTGCCCTTGTCAGCTCTGTAGCACTGAAAAGGGGAAACCACGCTGCTGGAAAAACCCATGGAACTTTCTCGACTAACATCGGGATGGCAACCCGGACCCCTTGGTTAGTGAACCACGAGACGAAGAAGCTCGTTATTTTCAATAATTTTCATTAGTTATATAATACTGTGGTAGCTATGACCATTGACCACGTTGAAAAATCTTGTGGATGATCAGGAGGCTAAAGCTATTTTCCGATTGACTTGAAATTTCAAAACGTTATTGTTGGAAGAATGACCCTTCGCTTTGAAAAATCTTTTGGGTGCTGATTGACTTGATGTTTATGAGACAAAGGACGCTATTGATTTTCCGATAATAACTGTTCTTGAATTGAAGACATTTATGGAAGCTCTAAACTCTATGATATAGTAATTAACTTGAAATTTGTACACTTTGGTTTTGTTCACGAAGCTTAATGATCTTCAACAATTCAAATAATTACTTTCGGAGTTACGACCCTTGGTCACTTAGAGAAATCTCGTGGGCGCTAAAAAGATATTGTTTGATTGACTTTGGATTGATACACAGTGTCTATGTTCATTGTACAAAGATTCCTATTTATTTTCAGACCGAACTGTTAACCTATAATCTCATTAACAGCATGCTTTGTTGCTAGAAGAGGCCATGACATTTTATTTATTTCTCATAATTACTTCATGGGTTGCTGCACGTGTGTGTCTTTGGAATGACTCCGTTACCTACAAGAAAATAAAATGACACATCTTTAAAGGCATTAGCACTTTGTTGATATTTGCCGGTCAGTTAAAGAAACAATGTAATTTTATTATAAGCTTTTTTTTTAGTTTAAAAAATATTTTATTCAATAAACTGAA